TCCCAGAATTTATTCCATTAATCTAATAGAAAAACAGCCTCAACGTCTTTTTCCCAGAATTCATTGTATTAATCTAATCAAAAAAACAGTCCTGGCTTTTCTTGTTTTGAAAATGATTTATTCATTCGAAAAGACGATTTATTTGTACTTATATATTACGTATTAAGGGAGACATATATTCACAAATAGAGCTTTTGAGTTATATGGAAAGTGAATGACTCCAAGTCGAACATGCACAGTCGTAAGCGATCGTTTACGAAAAAAAAGAGATATACGCAAATCATGAAAAAAGACGAGGTGATTAAAAGATAAACAACGAATAGTAAGTACTCCAGTTTATTAATTTACTTTTTTATTTTATATCAATATCCGTAATACAAACTTATATACATAAGTATTATTTTAAAATAAACTATCTTTTTGTTACTTTCAATCAAGATCTAAGGCACAACGAATCTATAACTAAACTTTAAATCAATAGCATCTTTTACTCCTTGTAGAATACAAAAGAGGCAAAAAGTGTTATGTTTTTATGATAAAAATGAAAAAAACGATTATGTGCGATGTTGAGCCTTGTTGTTTACGATTGTAAATGCTTCACATAAGATCTCGGTATTGTTCCATATACGAAGGTCGTAACATTCGATCTGGGAAGATGAAAAGTGTAAAGAACGATTGATCCAACAAAATTTAATTTGAAAAAATAATATAACCAACATTTAGTTGTAGATGAAATTTTTATGAAAATCAAAATAATTTCATTGAAATTTAGTTATTCATATATTCAAATCTGAATACTTGAAATGTATTTCATAGATTATACAATATATTAGTGAACTGTCACATCATTCATATGGAATAAAGTCAACGTTTAATATCTAATCAACGAATAAATCGATGAGTTGTTTGATTAAACAAAAAAATTGAACACTTCTTCAAAATCAAACATACTCGATTTAAGTTTCTATAATACAAAGTACAAACAACATTTCAAAAATCTCTCTTTTTATTATTCTTCCATTTTTAATTGATTATAGTTTGTAATTCGACTGATAATCATATTTTGCTTCATCAATGTGCAGATGATTCAAACAATTACGATTGATATCTATGTAGAATAATGATAATATCCTATCTATTAGATAAATAATAATAAACAGTATTTTTAGTATCCTAAATAAAGTTAAATAATTGGTTTTTAACATAATAACACATTCTAACGTGCTTTTTCCTCGATGAAAAATATTCATCCAGAAAATGTTTTGCTTTATTTTTCTTTCATTCATATGTTGCTATGATGTATTATGTATTCTGAATGCAAAAGAAGAAAGAATTAGTTGAAGAATCTTTTCGATTTTTCTTCAAAAAGAAACGATCGAAATAGAGAGTTTGTGAAATCATGCAGTTTCTATTGAGGGTGTAGGCGTTCGCAGATATCAGCACGAAATACCCACACCCACACCCTAATAAAGTGGTTTGCCATTTTGTAAACTATCAATTAATCAATAGATTTCGTCGACGTAATCAGACACTTTTTTCATTCTTCTTTCTACGTAAGTAAAGTTAGCAGCAGATTCGAGTAATCCTTGCTGACATT